CCAAGCTCTCGTGCTCGACGAACAGCAGCGCTTTGAATCTTCCCACTGGAGTCACGCCTTCCGCTTATGCCGTACAGGTGGGGAAAAGTGATGTCGGGGTTGATTCCACGTTCCCAGGGCCTGGTTTCGAAGTAAGTGATGGGCCTCCTCTCGCAGTCGAACAGATGTGGGCTCTTTTTGCTGACGTCTTCGGCCCTTTTTCGGAAATCCCTGCGTCCTTTTAGGCGTCTGTGCACTTGTTCCGTTGCCGCAATTCGTCGAGGGTGGTCGTTGTTCAGTCGGAGGGCCTTCTCTCTTGATCGGAGACAGTTAGCATTTATGGTGGACTGAATGCTTGGGACCCCCGTTTCAGCTCGAAGTGCCTCGATCGGTGAGGACTGGGCTTGGGTGGTAATCAGTCGCAGACATCTGTTTTGAATCACCTCCAGATTATTTATCAGAGTTTTGCTCAGCCACGGTTGCCAGCTGCTGCTCGCAAAGTTGAGAACACTTTGTATATGAGTGAGGTAGACCTTGCGTAGGTCGTCTTTCCTCCATCCCCATTTTGAGTGCGCTACAGCGCCGAGCATCCTCATCTTCTGTGTGGCCTTAGCTATTACTGTCTCAACCTGTTTCCTGAACGTGAGCCTGCGGTCGAGTGTGACTCCCAGGAGTCTTGCGTAGGGCTCATACTTAATTGACGAATTATTTATCGTGATGCACGGCTTCCATTCCGAGTCAGATGTTGCGAGCGTGAAGAATGTTGTCTCGCTCTTTGAGCCGTTTAGCGTGAGTTTCCATCGCCTGCTCCAGTCAGCAACGATGTCCACCGCTCTTTGTGCCAGACTTTCGGTGTCTCGTGTCGTGCGTGATGAAGCGAGGATAGAGACGTCGTCAGCGTAGAGTGAAATTGTGAGATCGTCCGGAAGTAGTTTCGCCAGTTCGTCGATATAAAAAAGGAAGAGGATGGGTGCCAGGACCGAACCTTGTGGGAGACCTTGGTTCATTTTCCTGCTATTACTCAGTATTCCATTGAATCGGACTCTGGCTTGACGATTTTGAAGGAAGTCATTCAGCCATAAAACGTATGTATCTGGGATACCTCTGTCCAGGAGGGTGAGGAGTAGGCGTTCTCGCCAGACCGTGTCGTATGCCTTTGAAAAATCGAGGAGGACGAGTACCGATTTTTCCTTCTTTTGGAAGCCATCGGAAATCTTCTGCGTAATTCTCAGAATTTGGTCTTCCACACATCTCCCCTTCCTGAAACCAGCCTGCAGTTCGGAAAACCAGCCGTTCCGCTCGGCCATGTCGTACAGTCGTTCAGATACCATTCTCTCCATAACTTTGATGACACAGGATGTGAGGCTTATCGGTCTAAACGACGTTAGTTCCGATGCTGGTTTGGCGGTCTTGAGGAGGGGGACAATGATGGCGTCTTTCCAGACTTGTGGGACATCAGCTGAGCGAAATGACATGTTGAAGATGGAGAGCAGTTTCTTCAGCGCCTTGGGACCCAGGTTTTTGAGGAAGGACGGGGGAATGTTGTCTGGTCCGGGTGATCCGCGGGACTTCATCTTTGCAATGGCATTCCTCAGTTCCCCGAGAGTGAAATCGGGCTGGTCTGCCCTTGGGTTGTTCCGTAAGTATTTCAGTCGCTGTTTGAGTTGCCAGTTTTCGGCTCTGTCTTCTTTCGACATGTTTAGACTGCAGACGTTCGCGTAGTGGTCTGCGAATATGTCCGCCTTATGCTTGCTTGATGTCACCAATCGCCCATTGTGTGACATTGCTTCATTTGGCGAGTTTGTCTCAGGGGTACCGTTGAGGCTTTTTATGATTTTCCACATCTTGGTGTCGTCCTGTGAGTTGGTGGTTTTCTCGAGCAGTTTTCGCCAGGCGTCGGTCTTAGCATCGTTGATCGTCTCCTGCGCCACGTGGCACGCCTCTAGCCATTCTTTGCGGCGGGTTCGCACCTCTTTCCGGAGTCTATTTCGCCTCCGGATTGCTCTTCGAACTGTGGGGGTTTCCCATGTCTTTGTGTGCCTGCCTGGTTTCACAGTGCCGACAATACGGGTACCGGCGTCCATCAGGGCAGTGTGGAATTCAGACACCATGTTGCGGATGTGGTTGTTCGACGGCATTCTAGTCACAGTGTCACGTTCAACGGCGTCGGTGAAAGCTTTCCAGTCGACACCGAACGATTTCCAGGTGACTTGACCCTTGAATACTGATCCATGGCTGACCTCAGTGTTAAGGGTCACGGAAATCGGCGCATGGTCAGAGCTGCCAATTCCGTCTACTGGGCACCAGGTGTGCTTCCCGCTCCATGTTGACCCACATATAGAGACATCAGGGTTGTCTCCGGTTGATGGTAGGGAAGAGGGAGAGAGATTGGGGTTGGGATGGTCGTCATGTCTCGACTTGGTGTTGATACGAGTGTGTCTTCCGTCGTTCATTACCGTCATGTCGCTATCCAGTGTCCAGTTCAGCAGACTCTCCCCTCTTGCATCCGGTGGTTGAAAGGGATCCCAAAGGGGACAGTGGGCATTAAAGTCACCTAGTATGATAGACTCGGGTGTGGTTGGGAGTTCGTCGGTTGCCAAACGTGTAGATTGTTGAGATGTGTGGGATCTGACGGGGGGGCAGTAGATGTTGCACAGTGTGACCCATTTCCTCTTCCCGACCCTCACCTTAAACATCGAAAGCTCAGTTCCTCTGATGGACGCGTCTCGGACATGTTCGAAAACCAGGGTATTCTTGATATAAGATATGAGACCTCCACCTCCGTCCTGGCTCCGTCTGTCCACCCTGATTGATGAATATCCCTCAAATCTAGGTGTCGTCTTACTTGGTTTTAGTTTCGATTCCTGGATGAGGCAGATGTCGAAATCACTCTCCTTCAAGCGAAGTCCAAGCTCGTTTGCCTTAGTTGCGATGCCATCGGCGTTCCACTGCATAATGCTGAGCGAACTTTTGGTCCACTTTTGGGGTTCCTCGGCAGATGTTTCGATCGCTGTGCCACCCACCACCCGTGTGAAGTCTCTGGGCTTATTCGACCGCTCACAACCCTCACAGCTCCAACTGTGGGTACCTTCCGCAGCGGCGTTTGCGAGCAGTCTCGTTAGTTTCGTGCAAGACTTGTGGAAGTACTGGGTACAGGACGCGCATGCAACTGGCGTGGTATTCACTCGGATTGGTTTCCGGCAGCCCTTACAATTGGCTTTGGGCCGTGGGGTGGATGGTAGGGGGGTAGATCTGACAGTGTTATTTGTGATTGGGATTGCGGTTGGTGCCGTGTTGCAGGAGTGGGTTGCACACCTCCATTTTGTCTTGGGGTGGTACCTGCCGGTGTGGCTGCACCTAACGTCCTTATGGCACTCGCTTGAGCATCCCAATTCGTCGCAGCGGAACCGGATGCGTTTTTCCTGAGCATCTTGCTGCAGACGCTGCACTCGCGTCTGGCAAAGGTCTCCTGTCGGGGTGTTTGGTCGACGGGGACTGGGGGTGAGCAGTGAGTTCTGCAGAGCCATTCGCGCTTCCTGGAGTACCGGGAGATGCCGCTGCAGGATTGATGACATTTCTCGTTGCAGCTGTCAGCACTGCATATGAACGGGTTAAGAAGCAGCCTCTCTTTTCGGCCGCAGGCGTTGCAGACCTGTGGCGGCAGGGCATCCGGTGAAGAGGATGTCCTTTCGGCTTGGGCAACAGTGTTGATTGCGGTAGCTCCACTGTGGGTCGGAGAGTGCCGGTTGAGTGTCGGCTGAGTATTGTGAGTGGGGGTTTCTCTAGCGCTGGTGCTGTTCTCATTGGAGGCTCTGGGTCCTGGGGAGAAAAAATGGGGAGGCCGGGCCGCCTCTTGGAGTCGCGCTGTCTCTCTGGGGGCGGTGTCGGCTTGGGTTTGGTGTCCTTTTGTTTGACCTGGGTTTTTTCTCTGAGATATTTCAAATTGTAATGTTCTTTTCCCTCCTCTCTTTGACCGTGTAGTTTTTGGGATCCTATTTAGATTGTTTTCTCTTAGTTTCCTCATAACATTGGGAGATATAAAGACATGGTTCATTGGTCGAAATAACAACAGAGTGTCTGGGGAGTATGTTGTTCTATTTTCCCTTTCGGTGAATATCTCTACACTGTCCATTCAAACCGATGATTGGTGACCATGAAGATTAGGGGAAGCTCGTAGAAAAAATCGTGAATCTTAGATCGAGCTTCTTCCTCAGATTAAGCAGAAACAATGAGGTTCACTGTAGAGAATAAATAAGAACTTGACGTCATGATTATTTGCCAACCGGAAGTTTGTTGTTGTTGTTGTTTTTTCTTTACTTCAAGGACAAAGTTATCACATTAATCGCCGAAACTAAATGCACATGATGGTAGATCTATAGCTTTTTTAAAAATATCCAGGAATTAAAAACAGTCAGGAACACCACAAATTAAGAGGGGCACAGAAGGCTGCCTGTTGGCGCGATCATCACTCCTCTTGTTGTTGTTGTTGTTGTTGTTTTTCTCTTTTTGTTAAGCATCCATGGACCCCGGTAGTCTAAGTCTACACTGCTGAACTCACTAATCATTCTGTCACTAGAGACCCCATTAGATAAATTATCGTTGCACACGTCTATTTTGGCCGGTCTAAATTTCTTTAAGCGGAGTCAAAACCACGCGCAAAAGAAGGTGCCTTTAGAAAATGGGAAACAGCAGCGTTTTGACTCTTTGGAAAAAAAATAAAAACAGGTTTACTTCCCTTATTAGCTGTCGCAAAGTTTCTTTGTTTCGTACAATTTTCCGAACTAGAAATGTACTCTTTCTCGCACACAACGGGATCTCGTTGCTTGCCAATTTGAAGCGCACTAAAAATGGCACAATCTCGATCTATTATAGAATCTTTGTCTATTTTGCTTTTTATCTTAATAAAAAGAAAATATTCAACCTTAACCATCTCCATAAAGTATGATCCAATTACATTTATGAATAATTACCGTTTACGTTTTTGCTATGTTTTTTTTCTCAAAATTTATGAAATATTTACATCGCATCCTTTCTTACACTTAAATTGACAACAATCGGGCAAAAATATCTGGCTACTGTGGAAGACAAGGAAAATGACTATGCTTGGGGTGAGAGAGTTTATAGAGCATATTTTATCAAACAATTTAATGTTTTTCCCTGGTATAATTGTTGAATTTTACTGGCTGGGTGGAAACCTAGAACTGAATTCTTTCGAACTATCATATATTACAGTCTTCTAAATGTTCTGTTTTAATACGTTTTCGAGTCTGAAATCTATGTTTAGAAGATGATGATACACTTACTTTTAATTTTTGAAGCAGTCATCACTGTGACTGATCAGCTTTGTTTGGTTAGTGAAACTTACTTGGTCATCCTGCCGTGTTCATTCATGTACAGTGTTTACCAATTATGTCAGAGCCCTGTTTCCTAGATCCAGTTCTGCTTCCTGTGTCCTCCTACTCTTTTCTTGATCTTTCAGAGTAAGTAACAATTTAGTCTAGATCCTAGATCTAGAAAAAAATTACCGTCAACAGACTCTTGAAGACTACTGTCGCTTTTCAGTCATAGTGAATAGTCAGAATAGTGTCATTGTCTGGATCTAGATTCTAGATATCTAGCCTAGATTCTAGAAATCTAGATCTAAACTTAAAATCAGAATAAGCCTAAAACAAATTCTGACAAAGTTCTTGGGCAATTTTCAGGCTTAGACGAAGACACTTTTTATGATTCGATTCTCACCCGAGGTGAGAACACTCCACATTTAAAGTTAAAGTCTATTTTTCTCATCCGGTTTTTTCATTTCCGGTTCCGTCCTTTTTATTTGGGGTGTCTATTCGGACTCGAGTCGGAATAGAGGAAAATTATATTAGGATTCTGAATTGAGTCCAGCATGACGTCCGTTCCAACTTCCGACCCTTGTTTGTCCTAAATATTTCCAGCATTTACGAACATTTTTCGATTATAATGATAACAGTCGAGACGTGAGCTTCAATTCCAGTTGCTAGATCTATAGATACTGGCCCTCCCTGCATCATTGGTATGAACAGAATGATTAAGTTGAGCTGACCTTGCCTTGCCAGGGCAAAGTTAATTATGTCGACCGATGAGAATTCGCGAGTAGCGATCTCGCACTCTTGGCTTGCTGGAGAAAGAGGTGTTGGGAAGAGGCCAAAGCTGTCGGTTTTGAGCGATGTGATAAAAGAAAAAAAACATTACAGAAAAACTAAAACACACAACAAAATGAAATTAGACATAAATATGGAAAGAAAAATGGTTGGTGGAAGTAATAACGATGCTGTAGTGATGGTGAAAAGACCCTGAGTTGTCGGTTACCGTGTACTTAGACACTGCCATTGGGTAGATCTAATGAGAGTGCAGTCGTTTGACTTTTGACACAATTACACAATCCTAGTAGGCAATTCTAGTTTTCTAATTCTGGTGTTACGTAAAATCCCCCGACGAGTCAGAATAAATATAAATAAAACATTTTTTTCGGACCCGAATCCAAATAGATAAAACCCATATTCGGACTCTAGTCGAAATAGATAAATGTTATATTCGGACTCGAGTCTGAATAGAGCTGACCTTTTTATTTTCATTTAGGTTTTTGAGTTTTATGGGATGTTGGGATTCAACACTGGTCATCTGTTAAAGATCTAGAAATCTAGATCTAGATCTATAGGTTCTGGGTCTAACAAAAAAAACTTGAAAAATCTTTTTCGCCCCCAAGCAGTATCCCAAACCTTTTTTAATCTTTCAATCAAATCCCTATCAGAGCCTCAAAACCTTGCGTACTGCTGACACCGGTTCAAAAGACATTCAACATGAATCACATAAAAAAAGACATCTTTTAGCAAAATCGTCCTCTAAATCGCTCATTTTTCGGTAATTTATGAAAGAACAACACTATAATTATAATAATGCGATACGATAGTCCCTTGTATTCTCAGTCCGAGTGAGAAAAAAATGGATATATATATTCTCACCTTGCAGGTGAGAATAATGCCAGTCTTCATGATTTTGGTTATTGGCTTTAACTTTAGTAGTCTGGTAGATTGGTTTAGATGAATTCTTGATCTTATATAAATATCTTTCTAATGTTTTAAAATGTTTAGGTCATGGGAGACCCTTTACTTTTACCGGAGTGTCTACGTACATGGTAACCGGGCACCTAGCCTCAGTGTCTACGTACACGGAAACCAGCAACCGGGCACGTAGTCTCGGTATCACATACGCGGTAAACGGGCAGTCCAGAATTCCGAAGTTCAGTTTTTTTGTCATCCGGTGTTGCCTTCATCCCCACCCCTCCCCCGACTGTACATTTAAAAAAATCAATAATACCCCCTTTCCAGAGTCCTATACTTCGCAGCGCACAAACTTTAAATGAACTTTGGTGACCCCTACTGATACTCACAATGATGACAATGTGATGCGCCCGCACTGGTTCACTGACCGGTCAAGATGGCGAGCCCGACACAACGCTTGTATGACTTTCTTTTTTTTTCATCAAGTGACAGCACAAGACAAATATTGATTTATTTTCATTCCGGTTACCGTGTACGTAGATACTGAGACTAGGTGCCCGGTTACCTTGTACGAAGACACTCTGTTTACTTATTAAAAATTATTACAGCTTATTGTTTTTATAATTTCATTTATCCTTGAATCCTTGAAATGAATTTGTTTCCCATTTTTGAATTACTTTCATCTGTTCTGGCTACTAGCCAATTTAAAGATAACCAACAGGGATGTAACAAGACCATTAACTAGCAAGGCCTCATTCAATTGTCTGATCATACACACACCCTGGACCTTGACCTGGTGTTATTTTACTCCATAGACCCATCTCATGCTATTCTAATGACTAAAGCATTTTTTTCTTGTTCATTTTTATTTGCTTTATAATAGAAAATGAATTTTGATTTTATGCACTACAAGTTATTATAGTCTATGGGGTGAGAAGCGGCCTATGATGTTTTTATACGAACCATATTTTACAATTTACAATAGGCCCAATTGTGTGGTAATATTCCCTTGCTTTTAGCATTTTTTTTTTTTTTTGAGGGGGGGGGGGACATTCATTACCCGTTTTATATTTTCTTGTTAACAATGGATTTACAAGGGTTTTACTTTTAGTGGCTATGATGGGTGTTCAGCAGCAAAAACTACAGCAGTTAAGCTCCCCCCTGCCGGAAAAAAAACCCCAACAACCCAAAAATGGCTTCTCTGTGAAGGTGGAGGTTTAAGAAAAACTTTACCCACAGGGATCAGAAGTAAAAGAATTGCAGCTTTTTTCCCCCTGTAAATCTGTGGGAAAAGCCCTCAAAGCACACTGTTTATCCAATAACTGGGGGTTTATTAAAGCTTGTTTGGGAATTGTGTGAGCGAATTTCATACCATTGCCATCACTCTTGTTTGGCAATATTGACTTTGTTTAGGCCTAGACCTAGTCTTAGAATTATTCATATTTTCTACATACCTGTTAAAGATTTAGGCTTTCATCATGTTCTCTTTTTATCTTTTAAAATTTTCTCAATTTTTCCTGATTAAAAGAATTGCATAGATTAAAAACTGAATTCATACCCATAAAGAGTCGTAAATTTTCAAACCTGATAGCACAACATTCCACATCACCAATGTCAGTTCTTAAAAACATGTGACATTGGTTTGTCCTTCATCTAAGGACAAATAACGTCTGCCTCAGTGTCACCACACCCCAACAATCCACCATTCTTATCACAAATGCATGATTCCTTCGTAGAAATGCTAGGTCCTGCTTTTCCACTGTTGTTTCTTTTTTGCATCTTCACTAGAGCTGTACCCCGGTAGCAAACCCACTCGTGCTTGCAAACCCCTAGTTCAAGTCACAGGCCTCTAATCACTAGGTCAAATCATCAAATCAAATAACCAGAATGATAAGTTGAGTCTAGCCTAAGCTTCAAGTCCACAGCAACTAGCTATCCGCGAAGCCACCTGTGTCAGACCCCCTCATCCTCCCCACCTTGCTTGCAATCTGCGAAGCCACTTACGTCAGAAAAAGAGAGAGGGGGAGAGTGAGAGATCCCGCTCACAGTGTCACTGCGCGGCGTAGCGCTGGAGTCTGCTCGATTAATCGCAGGCTTGCGAGCAGCGGACAGCCGTCAAGTCTTAAGTCTCAAATCTCCCATGAGTCCCATTGTCTTGCTTTGTGCCAGTGACATGCTCACAGCCCGTCAAGTCTCTTTGCTCCCATTTTTTGCTTTGGCTCCCAGGACCAGCTCGCAACCTGGCAAGTCACTTGGCTGACTTGCTGTAGCAGCGATCAGCAAGACTGCTCGCAGTGTGAACTATGAACCGTGGAGGAAGGGAGAGGCTGTGCTTGTTTTGGTGCAAGACGTAGAGAGCAGAAGTTATTTTTAACTTCCCACCGTTGATCAGCTTAGCGAGTGGATAAGTGAAAGGGAACGTGGTATAGTAACTGAGACCTTGGTTTCTGGTAGTAATAAGAATAAGTAGACTTTGATTACCTCCAGGGGTCGTTGTGATTGGCTTTTGTATCATATGTAACCTATTTTGAAGATGTTTTACACTCACAGTGACATAATACTGAACATTTAGGAGACGGGCAAGGCCTACTTCAACCCTATGTCAGGGCCAAACTGGGCTGAGAGGGAACAACGCCCCTGCAGAAAGATGGAGGTTCTCAGTAAAAATTTCTCCCCCTACGGGAATCGAACTGAGGTCTTTTGAATGCAACAACGAAGCGTTTGGCTCGTGCACATTAAAAACAAATAGGCTTTTGTATCGTAAGAATAGCCGATCCATTATTAATTTTTAAGTGCATTGAATAGAGCTTTTTATTTTTTACAACCCGACTATGAAAAAAAAACCAATCTTGCACTTTTCGTGCTAGCCTCTCAGCGCAAATAACCTGAGAATCTTCAGTAATATGTACTGAGCCCACAGCCACGAGAGTTCGCAACGTCACAACATAGTCACATACAGCAAGACTCTCCGCGAGTCACAACTCACCGGAAGTTTCCCCGGTAGTGAGCGGGAGGCAAAGCAAAGCTCAAGCCTGCTCCAAAGCATCTGGCGCAAGCCGTCCGCTGCTTTGCAAGCCTTCGATTAATCGAGCAGACTCCAGCTCTAATCATCACCAATACCACGATGAAAGTTGCCATTTGACCATTAATATTATCAATGTGCTTCTATAAATTTACAAAACCAAATGTTTATTGTGGAAAAGTTTTGCTTTTGTTTGACATAATAAACTTTTCTCCATTATTTTTTATTTAAAAAGTAATAATATCTCTCTCTGGTCTGTCTCAGCAACACGGACGGTGCAAATTTGATGAAAAATGGCCATCCATGAGACCCACAGTCTTGAAACTTCTTAGACAGGAGTCAGTACCGCATCAAGAATGGCAAGATTTGTTTTGGTAAGTTTATATATATGTTTTGAAAAATTCTTTACACATGGACTGTTTTCACCTGCACCAAGTTGTTTCTTTATCGTTCACTGTGGCCATCCGGAGTTATATTATGCTATTCCTATAGAAAAGACTACACTAAGTTTACTGTAGCAAAGTGAGCCACTGTTGTTTCTTCCTTGCTTTAAAGTGTTTTAACTCTTTATTCTCTAGACGTTTGGTGAAAAGTTAATCTTTTGTGAGGAGAGGTGCGGTTCTTGGGGTCTGTCTTCTTTGTATTTTGAGTTTGTATACAAGGGTTTTTCTTTTATACACATCAGAGTTCTTAATGTTTTCAGTGTTCTGATAATGCATGTTTATAGTGGTTGTGATTCATTACATTAAGAAGTTTCCCCTGTGTTTGACATTTGGTTAATTCCACAGGCATGTTCACGCTGTGTGCATGTGGGACGAGCAAGAGGGGCCCACTCACATCCATGAAGCTCTTCACAAAGACATCCTCGATTTCATCAAGCAAGCTCAGAGTGTAAGATCTCCCTTTTTGTGATATTCAACTTCATGGTGGTTCAGGTGGCTATGGCTTTACTCGAGAACTGAAAGTTCAATGTTTTGTCTTTTGTAACCAATGTTTTTGATATGTATACTAGAAATGTCAATTAGGCACGCATACACGACGAAATTTGGGTCCCAGTTTGTGGTTGTATTTTTGGAACACGTCCGAATGTAAGATCTCCCTTTTTGTGATATTCAACTTCATGGTGGTTCAGGTGGCTATGGCTTAACTCGAGAACTGAAAGTTCAATGTTTTGTCTTTTGTAACCAATGTCTTTGATATGTATACTAGAAATGTCAATTAGGCACGCATACACGACGAAATTTGGGTCCCAGTTTGTGGTTGTATTTTTGGAACACGTCCGAATGTAAGTAGGTGACTAACTTTTCCAAACTCGTTCGGCTCTATTTCTGGACCTATGGTTATGAAACTTGGCTACCAATCAGAAAATAGGGCAAACTAGTGATTTGTGGACGTTGAGGTTTGTATACATCTATATTTTTTGTGTTGGAAACACTTTTGAATTGGGTATTACGTAAACTACTAGGGGTTGGTGGGTGCTCTGATGTGGTTTGTTCCTTCTTTCCTATTGAACATCTATCTTCTTTATCTCCCCTCCTTCTTTTTTGTGTTTGTTACTCTCTTGCACAGAATTCTACACTTATAGAACGGGAACTGTACCACGTGACCTGTGAGGAATTGAAGACCGAAAACAATGGCGTCTTGAGGGCACGATTTATCGTTTTCGGAAGTAACCCTATAGCTTTTAAAGCAATAGCGGCTTTTACAAACGAGTGAAAAGTGGAACATTTACTGTCCAGTTTGTAATTTTGAGTTACAGAATTCACTGTGCAACTAGAGATTGGAATTAAGGTTTTAAATTGTTGTGTTTTTGGGTGCAACAACAGAAACAGCAGACATAGAGAGTTTATAAATATAAGATCTACAGAACTGTGAAAAAAATCGTAACACGGATGGGATTGTTCACAGCACTTCTAGCTTCCCACACACATTTTGCATACGCATATGGCCTACGTAATTTTTTAGTAGCAAAACTTGTTACAAGAAATTTGTTTTACACTGAACATATTTTTTCACTAGATCTAATTAATGTTCTCAAAACATGCGTTCAATAATTAACTTTATGTCGCCAGCAGAAGTAGAAAAAAGGACGGACTTGCTTTTAAAAGAGATTTAGCTCCAGCTATAAACTTGTTAAAAATCAGTAGAAACCATTGACTGGGATTGTTTTTTTTTATATTGGGCTTGTATTTATTAAAGAATTTTCTTTAAAGAAATTTCTACAATAATATAGAACCTATAGATGTGTGCAAATGTTTGAAAAAAATACTCATCGGTTAAGACAAATTGATATATAGATCTAAGTCATTGTGTAAACGTAGGAGAATCTAGATCTAGGTGTTCGATAGTTCAGTAGCCTAGCGATATTTGATAATAAGTTGCGCATCAAATTTTTGACCCGCATGCTACAGTAGTATAGCGTATTATTTTCATCCGAAACATTTATTTCCGCATCCATACACCTTTTTGGGCCTGTATAAGCACATGTAGTCCAACTTTAATTATGTTGCTTTCAGAATTGTTTTTGAAAGCATTTTCAATTCCTTTCACTTTCACTTCCCACGCGCGGGCTCATTTAATTATGATTATAATTTAAGATTTCAAATCTGCCGAATGTATTATTAAATAGCGTATAATGCTGAGTTAGCCAATGCATTGCAATGCGCGCTATTATAAATTATTGAATTGTAACTAGACTTCAATTTGATCCGTAACATTAAGAGACCACTTATTTTTTTATACGTGTTCATGAATGTGTGTTTGTTTACTGTGTGCGGGGATTAAAAATTAAAGATTAAAGATTCCAGATCTGACGAATGTATTTATAAAATAGCGTAATAGTGCTGGGTTAGCCGATGCTTTGCGATACACGCTTTTATCAATTAATTGAATTGTATCAGGACTTCGATTTGATCCGTAACAAGACAACACTTATTTTTTCTTACGTGTTCAAAAATGTGTGTTTGTTTACTGTGTGCGGGGATTAAAAATTAAAGATTAAAGATTCCAGATCTGACGAATGTATTTATAAAATAGCGTAATAGTGCTGGGTTAGCCGATGCTTTGCGATACACGCTTTTATCAATTAATTGAATTGTATCAGGACTTCGATTTGATCCGTAACAAGACAACACTTATTTTTTCTTACGTGTTCAAAAATGTGTGTTTGTTTACTGTGTGCGGGGATTAAAAATTAAAGATTAAAGATTCCAGATCTGACGAATGTATTTATAAAATAGCGTAATAGTGCTGGGTTAGCCGATGCTTTGCGATACACGCTTTTATCAATTAATTGAATTGTAACAGGACTTCGATTTGATCCGTAACAAGACAACACTTATTTTTTCTTATACGTGTTCAAAAATGTGTGTTTGTTTACTGTGTGCGGGCATTAAAGATTCCAGGTCTGACAAATGTATTTATTAAATAGCATAGTCTTATAGGGCAGGGGTGGCCAACGCATTGCGATACGCACTTTTATCAATTAATCGAATTGAAACAGGACTTCAATTTGATCCGTAACAAGAGACCACTTATTTTTTCTTATTCGTGTTCAAAAATATGTCTTTGTTTACTGTGTGCAGGGATTACAGGGGGACAAGCCTACCCCCTCGACATGTGATCCAGGGTATGGGGATACATTTTTCTCAAAATGCACACAGCTCTGAAATCCTTGACCAGTGATCACTCGCCATGGAACTCTTTCTGTTGTGACTGTAGACACAAGTTTCTTCATTATCACATCTAAATGAGCCTATCATTCATGCATTAGAAATCACACTCCCAACGCACAGAAAATGACTTTGAACATATATTCAGGAAACATATTATTATGCCAGTTCCACTCTTGTTTACTTTGTTTTGCATTATTGGCTTTTATGTGTAAACCAATATTTTGAGGCCTTTTCTGCATTTTTGTGTTTTTGGCAGCAGGGTGGTTGGCGGGTGCTCTGGTGTGGTTTGCTCCTTCTTTCCTATCAAACATCTGTCGTCATTATCTCCCCTCCTTCTTTTTTGTGTATGTTACTCTCCTGTTACACATCTATTCTTCGGCACTTATATGACCTTATTGTGTTGCAAGTGCCGTAAATCTCTTACTAAATTTATTTATCTCTTTCTAATACATTGGAGAAAAGGCTTATATTGTTCTTTTTTGCTTGCTTTGGATTAAACAAAGCATGTTGTTGTACACACTACTGATGCAAACACAGAGATGAATTCTTAAAGTGAGAAATAATACATTTCCTCAATATAAGCTCAATTTATTTATCTCTTTCTAATACATTGGAGAAAAGGCTTATATTGTTCTTTTTTGCTTGCTTTGGATCTTAAGTTTAATGACAATATTATTGTAGTGAGCATGTTACTGTCAGCGTCCCCTTATCGTAGATCTAGTACTAATGTAACATTGCCAATTATGACATAATAAAAAGGTACTAGACTATTTCACTATATTTCCTCTTCGAAGAAAGTTTTAAAATACTGATGTAAGGTGTCTTCCAAGCCCTACCACTAGCATCAGCGTGCATAGCAACGCGAAGCCTCGCTGTGCGGCGCAGCCAAAGGTGCCCTCAACCGGCCGCCATGTTTTAGTTTCAATTCCTCACAGCGAATCGGCGATCGCGAAGAGGGAGTTCCGCTTCTATAAGTGTAGAATTCTGTGCTCTCTTGTAACACCTCTAATCTTCGGCACTTATATGACCTTATTGTGTTACAAATGCTGTAAAACTCTTGTGAAAAAAGAAACCTACTAGGAGTTTGATTTTTAACGTCATGAAAGTAAGAGATCTGTCTTCCCTCTATTGTGTCCTCAAATTTGAAAGTTCTACATCGAGTAGTTGTTTATTATTTATCCTAAATGTACCACTAGCCCCCTGTCCAAAAGTGGCATTGGTAGCGTAGTGGTTAGGCTACCGGACTTGTAATCCTGGGATTGCAGGTTTGGGGGTTGGAGCCTGTGCTAGTCCAACTTTGTGCCCTTGGGAAAGGCTCTTTGCACAAATTTCCCATTCGGTTCGGTCCTTTCGGAGACAGACGTTAAACTCGGAGATCCCGCCTCTTAAATAACCTAATAGTGTTGATAGGGGCGTTAAATCCAAACCATTTAATTTTCACCGTGTCCAAAGCGGCTTCGCACGGAGACAGGCCATTTTCCCCGCACTCCCTCTGCAAATGTATGTGATCTACAAATCCTCGCATGATTATTCCAAGCCTGTTCATTGGTTGTTTGAAATAGGGCAATGGCAGGCGCTCGCATCAAGTTGTTTTTCTCTCTCTTCCCCTGTAACATTGTAATGGGGGTATTCCGAGGCAAGTTATCTCGCCTCGGGATGTTAATGTCCCAACGCAAAAAAAAAGGTTTTTAATTGTACGGCATGTTAGATTGAATTGAATTGTTTTATGGTTGGTATGTTCTAAAGTGATTAAAGAAAGTTTTGCCAGCATATTCTTAAAGATCCCATGTTGTGATACAATGCTTTAAATAAAATGTTCCCATCCCGACACCCCTTTTTCTCAAAATCATATGTACTCCAAAATTTTAATTGTAACAAAATAACTACGAAACGGTCTTAAATTTGATTGCAGAAATGATTTCTCTGCCCTAAACTCATTGAGTAGCCAGGTTTCTTTCAATCACTCCTATCAGTTACTGAGATGTCGTCGATTCTCTTACAGAATCTGCTGTGGTCCATTTTTTATGAGTATTTGCCTATATGTGGGTCATTCATATTTTGCCGACCTTTACAACCCATTAACTTTTTAAAAAAAATTATGAACCTATTCTTTAAATTCAAAAAGCATAATTCTTTGAAGTGAAAACCCTTTTTTAGGTACCAAATAAAAAATGGCTAAAGTGAAAAATCAAATTTTCATTGGCGTTGCGAGAGAGGATATACTGAGCTCTTTTCACATGAACTATTGCGTCAAGACAGAATGACTTTATCAGATATTGCAGGGTGCTGAGGTCTTTGAACAAGGCTTTATGTGACTACTGTGTTATGATTGACAGTTGACATGTTTAGGAGTACTGGTGAATTTGTTCAATCTGTGTTGACGGATGTCAAAATTCTTTAAAAGAAATATAATCTCGTTTACTCTTGTTTTGGTATTGCTCTTGGTCCGGCAGCTAATGTGGAGTGGCTAGTAAGATGTTGACCTTTTCAAGCAAACTGTACTTTCTTTTTTTCGCATTTCGTAGCAAAATGTAAATGTAGGGGGCAAATGGGTTTTACTTAACCGACTTTCTTTGATATTAAGTGACATTAAGAGTAATCAAAGAATATATAATCATGTTCTCGTATTATCTTTGTTTTCAGATGTGACCTCAGACTTCACATATTGTGAGTTCTTCTTCACTACTATATTGATGTCGTTACTCACACTTCTTTCCCTCTCTTATAGCGGGTTCTCCAACACAAAGAGGAGTCAGCCTTGCTCCGAGCATACATTGCAGAATGGGGCAAGTTCTTCACCCAGTGTAACTACCTGCCTAAGCCTTTCATACAGCTGGAGGCCAACCTGATGGGAAAACTACACAGCAGCATGCCCAAGAAAGCTCAGTCGCCTGATGAGAGCCTTGTTAGGAAGGTGCGTTGGGTCAAAGGTCTCTAAAAGATGGTTGAAGTTCTCTTTTAAAGTCTTTACAGTAATCTAAGCACAATATGAATTATTAAACTAAAGTCTTCCCACTGTACTGTACCTCATCCTCTGTGACTTCTCCAAGTTCTATGTGACCTTCCCCTTGATCTCTTACCCTGTTGTTTTTTTCCTGCACGAAAAGACAATTATTGTGTGAGTGTGCTTTTCATTAATCAATCAAACAAATGTTTTGAATGTTTTGGGGTGCTGAGAGATGTGTAATTTCATTGGAGGGTGTTTTTTTTTCTGATTAGCTGATGCTGGACAGCTGGAACTTCAGTATTTTTTCCAACATCAAAGACAAGCTACAGTATAGTGCCATGAAACTGGTCCATGCAGAGCGGCATGGAGAAGCCTTCGACTCACAGCTAGTTATCGGAGTGCGAGAGTCATATGGTGAGTGATGCCAAGCTGTGTACGATAAACCCATGAGAGTGATTTCTGCTAGTCTCGCTCTTCTTCGAGAAATGAAGCTAATTTTGTGTGAGACTAAATGGTGGAGCCCTGTTCTTTCTTTAGAAAATCAAGGACTCTTTATAAATAACAGTATTTTTCTGCAGTGGGCCATTAGGTCAGTTCATATCATACTATACTAAGAGGTCAGATGACCCTGGTTTGATTTCCCATTTTGGCATACCTGAACTTCGATTGTTTTGCCCGTTACGGGTCTCATCTTGATCCAGTTGGAAGTGGACCGTTAGTTTGGACTGCCGTCTATGGTGTAGCAACACTTTGCTGTCGTAGGAGACTTAAGTTTGATTCCTGAATGGGGAGAAAACTTTCATCGAGTATCTCAGTCTTTCTGCTGGGATGCATCACTCTCAGCCCAAGTTTGCCCTGACCCTGACAGGCAGGGTCGGAAACCTGCATCCTAAATAATATAACTTGTATTGATGGGGGTGTTGAAAACACTTTCGCTTCAGAGGTGCTGCCGCTTAGGTACCTGTACTGTGTTAAAAAAGCAATGACACCTACACAATTATCAATTATATTATTCCCTAAACAATGTTTGATTTAGACAAATTCGTTCAGCATGCAAGAAAGCCAATGCCAATAAGTTCACATCAAGAAGTGTAAAACTCTTGTTTTGGAAATTGTAAAAATTGCTATTCATTGTAGACTTTTTGTGTCAGTCCAGAGATTATATTCTTTTTTACTGTTATTTTCTCAGTTAATCTTAGCTCCGACACTGAGGATAAGCTGAAGATCTATTGTGAGAACTTCGAGAAAGCCTATTTGGAAGCAGCAGAGAACTTTTACCGACAGAACGCACCCGATTACCTCGAGCAGAATGGAGTGCAGAACTACATGCGCTACGCCGACTGCAAGCTCAAGGAGGAAGAGGCACGGGCGCGTCGATACCTGGAGACAGGATACGGCTGTGGGTCTGTTAACAGCGTAAGTGTTGGTCGCTGGGTTCACGTCTGGTTTTACCTGGCATGAGTCTGTATTGCAGCAAGTCTATAAAAAGGACAGCATATCAACCACTTTGTGTGAGAATCTATCAATCTTCACTTTTCAAGATGGCATGTAGCGGAATCTTATGAACTGATGTGTAAGATAATAGAATTAACGGTTAATGTGGTGTCTGGAGCCTAGTTGTTAGGACCTCAGACTCGCACCTGTAAGATGGTGAGTTCGTGGGTTTGAATTCCATCAGCGGCCTGATGTTGTGTCCTTCGGATAGGCACTTTACAACTCGAATTTTCCTCACTTCACCAAGGTGATAATAAGTACCCTGCTATATACAGTGAAGGATCATGTCAGTTTGTTAGTGTTCAAGTGCACACAATCCGCAGCTTGCATTGTATGCTTCCTGGGAACCCGAGAATGTTTCTGAGTGTTCTAGGGTATGCTGGGCTAATAATAGTGGTGAAGTTCATAGAGCATGCTGTAGAGTGTGGAATATACTAAAGAAATGCAATTATTATTATTATTACGTATTGTTAATACACTAAATGTCTCTGCTGTTTCATCCCATGTGCAGCTGGTGGACTGCTGTGTGCGGGCGCTGGTGACCAGTTTCAAGGACACCATACTGGCTGAGTGCGCCAGCATGATCAAACAGAATGAGACAGAAAGTGAGTCAATTGTCTGTTGTTTCTCTCCCGTGTTGTCTGTTGGTCTAATACAGCCACTTTTCTCCTCAACTATGGAGGGCCCATTTTAGACAGTTTCAATTGTACTTTAACATGTTGAGCTGCAATGAGTTATTACAAATATTATTAGATTAGTTTGACAAATTACTGGTAGATTCGTTCTTGATTTTCTTTCCTTTTATTTCTTTTCCTTTTCAGAATTGCGTCTAATGTTTAGTTTAATGGACAGAGTGCCTGATGGTATACAGCCCATGCTTCAAGATCTGGAGACCCATATAGTCAATCAAGGACTAGCCGATATGATGTCAGCAGCCGAAACCATCACCACTGTGAGTACTGTCCTTATTCCTGCTATATGTGTTTGCAGAATATGAATCAGAAGAGATATTCCCTAATTAGGGTTTTTTTTGTTGTTGGGTTTTGTTATTTTGTTTTATTTTTTGGGACAAGACTTCAGTGGACTCGCTTTCTCTTTTTTTATTAGTCATTTCCCCAGTTTCTTGCTGCCTTAAAAAAAGTTTTCTCACTTGTGATGTCAACATTTGAATTGAAAGGCTAAGTATTTTTGTTAAGTCTTGATATTGGTGTGTTTCGAGCAGTTAAATGCTACGTCAGACTTGGATGACTCTGGGATATTTACAAAAATCATACTATTCACATAGAGAGTAGTTACTGTTTACTTGTATTAGCAGTGTAACAATTTGGTTCTTCGCTGTTTCACGCAGAGGATGTGAGTTCAATTCGTATGTAACATGTAGAGACATTTTATAGATTATCTTTATCTTTTGTGCTTTATAACAAAGATTGTGTGAACAAATTCATGTGTTCATTGATATCATCAGATTTTATTTGTTTGAACAATGTTAGAAATTAGTATTGTTGGTTACTGTTATACATTTGTTTTTTTCTCCACAGGACTCTGAGAAATATGTAGAACAGCTTTTAGAACTCTTCAATAGGTTTAGTCAGTTAGTCTCTGATGCCTTTAGTATTGATCCCAGATTCCTGACCTCCCGAGATAAGGTACGTATTGTGAAAGGGATTCGCTTTCTGTTGTTCATTAATTTTTATCATCTGAACCATCTTAATAGGCACAGAATGCACTCGTCAATATTTGTTTTAGTGTTCTTTCTTTGTGCTTAAAATTCAGTGGAAATGAATTTGTTGAAACCGCTGTGCTAGGAGTGGGGGTAGAGGTTGAGCTTTGCTCCATGGTTGTTTTTTTTCAGTGTGTGTGTTTAGAGAGTGCTACATGAACCTGGGCTCATTGATCTGTCTGTCTCTTGAGCCCTGCAATCATGTGAGAGCGACAGTTTTGAAAATAAGACATAGTGTTGTTTTCTTGATGATTAGGGGAATCTTTTTGTTTTGATGCAAATTCAAGTGACATTTTCCCCAGTCTTTCCTCTGTCTTTTCTTCTCTCTTATCTTCTCTTTTTCCTGCTCCACCAAGTGATGTTGCTTTTGCAATAAAAAGTTTCAAGTTTGTAAATGTCTGAAGATTTGAAGGCATCCCTTTGGGGACCCTGAGCACAGTGCACCTGTTTCTGCCTGTATGATTGAATACTGTAGTACAAAGGGGTCATGGCAAATGGTGCATTACGTGACATTAGTAGTCGGTTGTTGAGGCTGCTGAGCTCGCAACCATTGTCATGTCCTTTTGAAATGCCTTTCACAAACATTTTCCACACTTCTTTCGGGTAAGAATGGGTATCTGGCTAAGAGGGTGAAAGATCTTGTCAGTGAGTTTGTGCTTCAGCCCCTGTAAAATGGCAGCTTGTATTGAATGCTTCCTTAAAGAAAAGCTGAGAATGGTTTTCAAGTTAAGTGGTTTGTTAGGATAATATAATAATTTGTATAACAGATTTTAGATCACATAGAGCCTGTTTTCTAGAAGGAATATGAGCTGTATGAATGTTGTCTAATATTGTTTTGCTCTTATACTTTGGCTCCTTCCTTAATAAAGTTTGTTCCTTCTTCCACTTTCAGGCTTACAAAACTGTTGTGAATGATACTTCAGTGTTCAAATTAGAAATACCTGTGAAAAATAAAAGGTGCGTATACACTTGTGTTCATTGCTCTATTTTTTGTTGCATACAAGGGAATAAAGAAATAAGATATTTTGGCTATCCTATTGACAGTGTTTTTGACAATCAAAATTGTGGCATGTAATATTGCAACATATACTCATGGTTAGCCTAATATTACACAGAACATTATCTTGTACTTTTGTATAGATTGTTTCTCTCTCGTACATGTCTGGGTAACTCTGCTCTTCTTCTTTCTCTCTCTCTGTCTGTCTGTCTCTCTCTCTCCCCCCCTCTCTCTCTCTCTCTCTCTCTCTCTCTCTCTCTCTCTCTCTCTCTCTCTCAGCTGACAAGTTTTATTCTGGAGAAAGATGAGAAATAGTTAATGGTGTAGATCCAAAGACAAGATGCGATTTCAGGGGCAGCACAGAGTTTCTATTAGTTTTCTGTTTTTTGCTCCCTCTTCCTCACCTGTGGTCAGCATTTCACTCCTCTCCATTCTCTCTCCATACTGTACATTAACTCTTAGCTTACAGAAGGCTTTTCCTCCTTTGGACATGGCCAAATTTGTCTTCCAAGTTTTCAACATCACTTACTACTCTATTTAACCTATTTGCCTAAGATAACGCTAAACTGAGAAGAAGTGATTGACCCAAGCATTGAACATATAGTTTGATTATTGATTAAAGACGATTGTGTCGGGGTTTGGTAGACTTGTGCTTAGACTTGATCGACTGAGTGATGCTGTGAGAGCCACCTGAGCTGGCGTACCGTATACTAAGAGTTAAGAACGTTGTCCCTGTTTTAGCGTGGGTGCCAAGTCCCAGCCAGAGTCCAAGTGCCCGGAGCTGCTGGCCAATTTCTGTGATATGTTGCTGCGCAAGACGACGGTCAGCAAGCGACTCACCCCTGAAGAGGTGGACAAGAAGCTCAGAAATGTGGTAGGTGTCTATACTCGTATTTGTGTATGTTTCAGCTCTTACATTTGTGTGTGCGGGTGGTTGGCGGGTGCTTTGGTGTGGTTTGCTCCTTCTTTCCTATCAAATGTCTATCATCCTTATCTTCCCTTCTTCTTTTTTATGTTTGTTACTCTCTTGTAACACCTCTAATCTTCTGGCGCTCATATGACCGTATGCAGTTGCGAGCGCCGTAAAACCTCTACTAAAACTAACTAAAAAACATTTGTGTGTGTTGATGCTTGCATGTGTGTGTTGGTGCTTGTATGTCTGTATTTTTAGTACTCATATGTACATGTTTGTCAGTGCTTGTATGTGTGCGTGCGTTTGTTCCTCAGTACTCTTGATGTGTTTGTAGCGCTAGTATCTGAATTGTTGGTGAACTCATTATCATGGGTAGTTGGTGGGTGCTCTGGTGTGGTTTGCTCCTTCTTTACCTTCAAACATCTCTGATCCTTATCTTTCCTCCTTTTCTGTGTTTGTTACTCTCTTGTAATGCCTCAGATCTTTGGCACTTACATGACCTCATTATTGTGTTGCTAGTGCCGTAAAACTCTTACAAAAACTGAACAAAGTTGGTGAACTCATAATCTTGGATGATGTCTGTGGTGACAAAGTTTTAGTAGGTGACCTCCATAATGGAAATAAGGTCATAACATTTAAAAAATAAAGTAGCTTTTTGTTAGTGTTGCTTTTATTTGTGTTGTAGCTCAGAAATATACAATGTTTGTGATCTGAATAACGTATTGTTACTGTTCTAAACATTATCAGCTTTTTGTCTCTGTCCTTTGCTAGTGGGAAAGGGCGGTAGAGAATCTTCATCATTATTGTAGTAATCATCATCATTAGGGGTACGGAAATTTTTGCTGCATTTTAGTGTGGTGGTTTTGATGATGGTTTCAAATAAGTGTAGCAGGTGTGTCTAAATTTATTAACATTGTTCACATGAACTTAAGGATTAAACAATTTACTTGGGAGGGTGCAACAAGTACCAAGACTGTTTCCTATTATTTTTTAATAAATTTATAAATTGATAGGACATCGGAAACAAATAAAATATTGATTTTAAAAAAGCAACCAACTGAAATAAAAGTTTCAATACTTGTCTAATGGAAAAAGTCTCTGTTGCACACCAAGAATTATATTACTCAGTAGGCATTTAAAACACTACGAGAATAGATACCAACTTTTAAAAATGGCTTAAATTTCAGCTTCCCCATCAGTTCTGTTAGAGTAAAAGCATTATATACTTTCTGTCTTGCACAGCTTCTGGTGTTGAAGTACGTCCAGAACAAAGACGTCTTCATGCGTTATCACAAGGCTCACCTGACGCGCAGGCTCATCCTCGACTCGTCGGCAGACAATGAGAAGGAGGAGAACATGGTGGAGTGGCTCAGGGTCAGTGGAACGACCACATCTTTCTTTTTGTTTGTTTGGTTGTTGTTGTTTTGTTTTTTTTGGGGGGGGGGGGTTGCTGGGTGTTTGAGTAGAATTGCCTAACTTGCTTAAAAATTTAATTTTTTAAAAATATGTGCTTTTTGTTTGATTTTGTCGAACTTTTACAATTTGAAATATTAAACCAAAGATATTTTTTAATTACATTAAACATCACACAGGTGATTTTGCTCATTGTTCACAAGTATAAATAATTCAGTTTTCAATTAGAAGTCCGTGATTACCTCTTTGTTTTAGTTATCATATGGGGCATGTCCCTTAGTTCATTCTTGGATATGGAGTCCCGAATTTTGCTTCCTTGTTTTCAGTGTTGTGATTTAGGCCGAAAATGTAAAATGTATTATTTTTCATGTTATAATTTTCTTTTTTTTCTTTTTTTTTTACTTTTTGTTGCTGTCACTGGAAAAGAGATGACTCTCAATGTTTTATACTCACTTGTTAAGCAAGGTCAAATGAAGTAAGAGTCATTTTTTGTGGTACTAACAGGCCTGCCTATTTGTCCCAGTTTACCCGCAATTTCCCGTTTTTTTCACCGATTACGAGGCCTTGTCCCGGTGTCCCGTTTTTGCTACGCCTCATCCTGGTTTCGGTCGATCTCAAGACGGCTGCAAAATTATCCCGTAATTATTTCGTTTCCATGCGGCGGATGGAGCATAGTTTTTATTTAGCCGAAAAAATCAATAAACCGTGCTTCCTGTTGAGTTGCCAGAAGAGTGCGGATAGCCAACTTTGGACAAATTTTGGCCTTTCACGCCATTCCAATGTGGCGACACGATGTTTTTCGATTCGGCCTCGACTTTTTTTTGGTGGTCTTTTTCGATTCGGCATCAATATTGTTTCTGTATCTGACTTTCTATCTTCACTTCATCGTACAGCACAGCATCTTTGTGATTTGGACCGAGTGCGACGCATCAACAACCAGCTTTCCTAAGATCTAGACCTAGATTATTTCTGCTTTTCAGCTAATTTTTTTATTGTTTTCGACATTTAGGATTGTTATCCATAATGAAGCGCGCTGCCAGTGGATATACCGGTAATGAAAAGAAGAAAGCGTCCAAGACCAGTGAATTAAGTGAACATTCCGGGAGTGAAAATGAGGCCGTGGTGAGAGAAGAAAACAAGTCCAAGAAAGCCGCCAAAAAGACTCTGAAGAGGTTGGTGAGGTACAACATGGAATGGGCAAAAGATTACCCCTTTGTTGCTGCTAGTTTCAAGGGTATCCACCCTGCTTCTCTGGTCAGGCGAATCAAAACTGACCAGAGATCTGCCATGAACGACAAAACTCTAGAGTCTCTCCTCATCTTGAAGAGCCTGGACAAGCCCGTGGTGGTCACAGATGAAAACGTCCAGAGGCTCAAGTCGGCCTACTCCAGGTCCCTGGAGTAGGTCTCTCAGAATCAAAGAATGTATATAGTGTATATATGTAAATAAATGTATGAGCAGACAACATGAAAATATACTTGTGAGTGGCAATTTTTTTGTTACGTTTTGTCCTGTCCCTTTTTTGGATCAAATGTCTGTTTTTGGCTCTAGGAGTCCCTAATTCAGAAAAAGTGGACTAGGCAGGCCTGTACTAGACTAATGATTCATGTTATCATTCGAGAATGCTGAGTAAATGTTTCTTGATTTGCTTGTAGTGTTAATTCAACTTGTGTCTTGTTAGTTGATGCTGTGGTCTGGAAGATTGAATGTTGACATCGGGTGTTGTTCTGTTCGCTTTGCTCTGCAGGATGTGGGAATGCCGGCGGATTTCGTCAACAAGTTGCAGAGGATGTTCCAGGACATCAAGGTGTCGGAGGATCTGAACCACGAGTTTAAGGAGGCTCATCGCAATAATAATGAGGGAATAGCTGGTAGGTTGTAGAGTGGTTCATTTAAGTGATGGTTGAGAGGTTAAGAAAGCATATATAGGGAAAGTTGTAGAAAGAGGGAGAAGGATGAGAGAAAGGGGAAAGATACGTAGGAATGGGTGTGGTGAGATATTTTAAGGATGTCCAACAAAAAGTGTGGTTGGTTGATGGATGCTCTGGTGTGGTTAGTTCCTTCTTTCCTATCAAACATCTACCAATCGTCCTATCTTTCCTCCTTTTTTTGGCTTTGTTACCTCTGATCTACATCACTTATATGACATTATTGTGTTGCAAGTGATGTAAAACTCTTACTTAAACATAGCAGACCATTATTGTGTTGATGTGCTTCTCTTTCACTCAACAAAACCTTCTGTGTTGTCCTAGATGCAATCAACATAAAGATCTTGAATGCTGGAGCGTGGGCTCGGTCCAGCGAGAGGATGCCAGTGTCTCTACCTCTGGAACTGGAGGATTACATCCCTCAGGTGGGTGGTTTGCAAGTGCTCTGGTGTGGTTTGCCCCCCCCCCCCCCTTTCCTTTCAAATTTCTATCATCCTTATCTCTCCTCCTTCTTTTTTGTGTTTGTTACTCTATTGTAACACCTCTAATCTTCAGCACTTATGTGACCTTATTGTGTTGCAAGGGCTGCATAACTTTTACTAACACAAACATCCTTCAGGTTAGTGAGACAACTTCTCCATACTCAAGTTATCATTGCTGTGAGTGATGGTGACAGATACTGATGTATAGAGTGACAGTTAGGCTGTTCACTTTGCATGTAGTAGAAATGAATTCTGTTCCTAGATGGAGGGGGGGGGGATATTTTTTAGAGTATCTTTATCTTTTTTTTTTCTAGATTGCTCGGGTTAGTTGTGGCAAGATCAAGGCCACACACCCCCTTGTTTATGTAAAATGTGTTGATGGGGCTCTAAAACTTTTTAGATCATGGTGATCATTTCACATAAAAGTGGATCAACTTTAGATAAAATTTTACATTTTTTTTATCTGAACCTATTTTCCTAACCTCCTTCCCCTTCTCTCAGGGGAAATATCGGCCTATGTAGTTTTAACAGCCATGATTAAGTGTATGTATGATGTTTTTAGGGGAAAAATCATTGTGGTGAGAATTATTGTGATGCTATAGTAAGAGAATGTTATTCCAATATCATTTGTTCTTAATAATCAAGTCGCTGGAATTTCCTACTTCTTTTCAATTCTTGGGTTTTTTCTGCTTGGCTGTTTTGCCTTTTCTCTGGACAAAATGGCTGCAGTTACGCCGTTATACTTCTCTTGATTGGAATAAACAGGATAATTTTTGTATTTTCTGCAGGTAGAAGAATTTTACAAACACAAGCACAGTGGTCGCAAATTGCAGTGGCATCATGCAATGTCTAATGGAGTGGTAAGAAATTGGTCATGACGTTGTCTTTTGTTTTGATTTGATGTTTTGTATGAATTGTGCAGAGTGAAATGTTGCAAGCGCTCATATGACCTTATGCAGTTGCGAGCGCCGTAAAACCCTCTACTATAAAAAAAAAAAAAAAAGAAATGTGACATGGTGTGGTGGAATCAGGCGCTCGTCAATTTTGGAGCATATGGAGTTATTGGTATCATCTTAAAGCCTGTCCATTTGCCTTGCTATTGATGAAAAAAATATCCATTTATCTTGGATACAAGTAAAGATATTGGCAATTAAATGAGGTGGGTGTCGCCTGGTTTCAGAGGTAAAATTAGTGAGAAAATGGCCTTCAAAGTTGAGTTATTTTTTTACTTGAGAGTCCGTGGAAACTGAAAATTTACATCTGTTCGTTTTTCAATAAAAATCCACACAGAAATGTGTTCTTTAATGTGCATGAAAGGTGTTGAGCCAAAAAAAAAAAAATTTAATTAAAATTCCCAAACCTACTGAAAAATGCCAATTTCTTGACTATCATTATTTTGACAAACACTTTATTTCACCACGTTGCCTCACAAATGTATCTGAGAGTGGTTGGAAGGTGGTGGTTGGTTACTTCTCTACCGTCCATACTTAAGTTCCGTATATCAGTCTTGTGTTTTCTTAGCACTGAATAGCTGTTATTGTGTCAATGTGTTTTTGTTCACTCATACTAAAATATCAAACAAGTGGTCGTTTTCTTTATTTCTTTACTCGTTTGTTGGAGTTGTGGCAGAACTCCCTCATTTCCACTTATTTTTTGTTTGTTTTTCTCTTGTAACACTTGTGTTGTTTGGCACCTCTTATTTGACATAATTGTGTTGCAAGTGCTGTAAAACTCATACAAAAACTAAAACAATATCTCTGCCAATTTCAGATCACATTCTGCAATGATCTGGGCCGGTTTGAGCTTGAAGTGACCACCTTTCAAATGGCTGTCTTGTTTGCCTGGAACCAGCGTCCTCGAGAGAAGTTGTCATATGAGAGCTTGAAGCTGGCTACGGAACTGCCAGACAATGAACTCAGAAAGACGATTCTGGTAACATTTTCTTCTGTTTACATTGTGTTAATCCTTAGAACCAAAGTGGGTGAATTGCTCCTTTTTCAGGCACTGGATATGATTGCAGTTCTTGTACTGTATGAACTAATGTGCGACTACAGTTATGACTCGTGCTGGGAGTTGCCTTGATAAATCTGAGGAATCTTGTAACACCTCTATTCTTCAGCACTTTTATGACTTTATTGTGTCGCAAGTGCTGTAAAACTCTTACTAAAACTAAACATCAGTCTAATTTTTTTTTATTGAAACTTTTTTGAAAGAGGTAAATAAAAAGATAAACATGTGAAGTAAGGCTGAGCTCTGAGCTGTGCTGCTAAAAATGAATGTATACTAAACATACAGAGCTATTGGTTATTTTTGGGTATTTTTACTTATTTTTTCTATTGTTCAGCAATTTGGTCTACTTCTGATAAAAGGAATAACCTATCTAGAGAGTTATGCTCTTTTGTATCTGATGGTGCTTAAAAAGTAGACAGAAAATCGTGGAGATCAAGCTGGCTGGAAGAAGTGAATAGATCTCTTGTGTAATGTTTGAGAACTGATATGCAAGTGATGGCAGTTGGTTCCTTAGCACTAAAAAGTTGTTAAAACTTTTTTAACTTTGTTGGGGGGGTTTTGTACAAACGTGAAATTTTTGACAGTTTCTTTTCTTTATTTATTATTGATATTATAATGATTATTCTTTTCAGTCTTTAATGACCTCCAAGAACAAGATATTGTTGAGTTCAAACGAAATCAAAACCCCAAGAGATTTCAACGATAACACAGAATTTTGGGTCAATCAGCAGTATGCGTTCACGTAAGTTATTCAACCCTGCACTGGTAATCATGATACCAAATGTGGAACTGTAATCATGGCACAATACTGAGAGTGACACTATCTAACAATCTTTTGATTGTTAGATTTATGAAATGCAATTAATTGTTCCAGAATGAATGGACTTTGCAAAGAATTTCTATATTTTGTCTGTAATTCAACTTGTCTTTCTTTCACGTGAACTTACGAATAGTCTAGTATTTGTTTAGAATCTATGTACCTCCACCCGCAGTTAGCTGTTACTCATTTGCATGTGGCTGTAAGGAAATCAGTGGGAAGGTTAAGATTTCTTTTTTCCCGCACATTTTTTGCCTACAACAGGGTGACTGCCAGACCCCAAGAATCCCGGGAATTTATTTTAAAAATCGCGGAGACCGGGAATATGAGGAAATCTGTAAATTGCCCCGACAAAGGCCGAGAAAAATACATAAAATTCTCAAACATTTGAAAACAAAATCGGTTAACGTCATTGAGTTTATTTTTGCCGGTCGCGATTGTGATATTCATTCGGCTTTTCCAGGTCTGAGAGTACGTTTCACACGAACAGGCAGCTATGGCGGCAAGCGGAAGTGTATGTGTGTGATACTGAAGCTTGGTCTACTTTTGCTTTCGTTACCACCCAGAAATTTGCGGATTAACGCAACATTTGTAACATGCAGGTTATGCATTAGAAACCCTGTGTCGCCGTGAAAATAAATCAATATTTGTCCTGTACTGTCACTTCCGGCAAAAAAAAGAAAGTTATACAAGCGTCTTTTCGGGCTCGCCATCGTGACCAGTCAGCGAACCTGTGCATCTGCATCAGATTCTGAGTATCAGTGACAGTTGGGGTCACCAAAGTTCATTCAAAGTCTGAGCGTTACACTCCTATACTTTGCAGCGCTCAGACTTTGAATGAACTTTGGGGGATGGTTGAAGGCAACACCAGATGACAAAAACTGAACTTGGAAGCAAATTTTATTATTTAGAGTTTTGATTCTTACTACAGTTTCCTTCAAAGGACGCGTTGGTGCCGGCCTTGTGTGGAATTGGGTTCCGTCATACTCATTCCTTGTAAGCCGTGTTTTTTAATCAAAAGCTTTGCGTTTCATTGGATGGGTGATAGTACGTTTGTTTCAATGACTTTGGTTTTTTTTTTTAGAGGTATGACCTCATTAAGTGCATACTTTTTTCTTCTCTCTCTTTCTCTCTCTCTCTCTCTCTCTCTCCCTCTCACTCCCTCCCCCTCCCACCCTCTCTCCCTCCCTCCCTCTCTCTCTATCTCTCTCTCTCTCTCTCTCTCTCTCTCTCCTGATAGTATATTACATGTATTATCGATGTTTTAGCTTTCTGTTCAAGATTCGCAGATTTTCAGTGTCGCTGCATCTTGCCCTCCCACAGTTCTAACACGTCTCATACTTTTAGGGCGGGCGGTTGGCGGGTGCTCTGGTGTGGTTTGCTCCTTCTTTCCTATCAAACATCTATCGTCCTTATCTCCACCTCCTTCTTTTTTATGTTTGTTACTCTCTTGTAACACCTCTAATCTTCTGGCGCTCATATGACCTTATGCAGTTGCGAGCGCCATAAAATCTCTACTAGAAAAAAAAAAAAAAAAACACTTTTAGGTCTACTTGAGCCATTGAAGTTATTACTCTACTTTGAGTTTGAGCAATAATTTTTGTTTTTCACGTTTATTAAATAAATCTTGACACCCAGGCTGGTTCTTGATAGTCGATATTCTGGTTCGAGGCCTTTTCTAAGGCTAAAAAACAAGATTCATTTTTATGATATAGTTTATATAGACGAATATGATGAGGGGAAAATATAAATAAGAACAGACTGAAATACGTAAGTCACACTAGACCCCAGTGCCACACTGACGTGTTGTTGACTGGATATAATGTTCCTCATCTTTCTCAAGTGTTTAAGATTTAATTTTGGTAAAATTAGAGCATTCTGTAAAAAGTTGTAGTGCTTCATACGTCGTGAAGGGAAATTTTTTATTAAGTAGGGCCTATCTTGTTCTTCATTTGTATTCCACATTGCTGAAGGATGAATTTTAAGTAAACAGTGTAGTTACTTTTCCATTGCAAAGCTGTTAAAAAAATGAATGGTAAAATAGCAATGCCAATCGGGCTTTCCCGCGCGGCGAAAATTTGGTCCCCTTTTTGCGGGTGAATTTTTGGACCGGGTCGTAGAATAGGTTACAAACTTTCTCAACCTCGGTCTGCTCTATTTCTGAACCAATGTAAATGAAACTCAGTAACCAATCAGAAAATAGGGCAAACTAGTGATATGTGGACGTTGAAGTTCGTACACATAAATTAACCTATACTTTTGGTGTCTGGAACACTTTCATATCGGGTGTACCGAAAACTATAAGGAGCTTGAATTTCAACGCCAAGATGGTAATAGATCTATTTATTCTCTATAGTGTGCTCAAATTTGAACGTTCTGTGTCTCGTAGTTGTTTAGACCCTATTATAAATGCACGACTACCCCACCTATCCAAAGCGGCTTCGCACGGAGACCAGCCATTTTCCCCTCACTCTCGCGGCAAATGTATGTGACCTACAATTCCCCACATGACTATTCCGAACCCGTTCATTGGGCACTTGAAATAGGGCAATGGCGGGCGCGAGCATCCGGTTGTTTTTCTCTCTGTAACGTCGCAATGGAGGTATTCCGAGGTGAGGTTATCTCGTCTCGGGGTGTTCACGTCTCAAAGGGGAAAAAGAATTTTTAATTGTGCGGCTTGCTAGATTGAATTAACTTATCTTTTAAGGTTGGCGTAGTCTAAAGAAAGCTATACCATTATTTAGTCACGCTGCCAACATATTCTTAAAGATCCCATGTTCTGATAAGATGCTATAAATAAAATGGACTCATCCGGACACCCCGTTTTTTCGCAAAAATCGTAGTATGTACACCAAAATTTTAATTTTAACAAAATAACTACGAAGTGGTTAGTAAATCTGACGGCAGAAATGATTTCTCCACCCAAAAACCAGTCGGGTAGCCAAGTTTCTCTCTAGCACTCCGACTAATTACCGAGATATCGTTGGATTATCTTACAGAATCTGCTACTGCGTGGTCCACTGTTTTGGAGTATTTTGCTATATGTGGGTCATCCATATTTTGCCGACCTTTACAACTCAATTACTTTTTTATTTAAGAACCGATTCTTAAAATTCAAGAAGCATAATTCTTAGAATTGAAAATTCTCTCTTAGATACGAAATACCACTACAATATTTTGATGCATTATGGTTCTCAGAAAGGCAGTAGGCTCTTCATCTCTTTCTTTCATATGGTATGTTACTGTTCACATGAAAATTAATGTTCATCTGCAGGAGTAGTTTCAAATTTGAGTGATATGATTGTAAAGAAACACTTTGGAAACATTTTTTTAGCAAAACTTTTTAAAATTGATTCTTGGATATGGTTTATATTTCATGTTTCTCAAAACTTCAATTTGATAGAAATGAAGTTCTGTGTGGTATGTCAAAAACAAAACGACAACCAAAAAACCCTTCTGGGCTTTCTAGTCTAGTCTGTTTTCACAGAGCCACCCAATTTTGTTGATATAGTTCTAGACTTGCCATGTTTTCCCTCAGGAAATCTGGCAAAGTGCAGAAACGTGGCAAGACAAACCTGATTGGACGTCTTCAGCTGACGACAGAAAAAAGCAGAGAGGAAGACAATGAGGGTATTATGCAGCTCAGAATCCTCAGAGTTCAGGTGTGTATTTTTGCCTGTGGAGTCATGTGTCTTCTTGGGTGTGGGTTTTGGGTTTTACTTTGACTGCATTGTTGATAATGATAGCAAAATTTCTCTATGTCCATCAGTCCTGCTCTTTATGTGCTTTAAATGATCATTTTTTTGTCTATGTGTTTCACTTTACTCAATGTAAATGAACACAACGTACAGTGGAACTTGCACTAAGTGCCGTCTGTCCAAGACAACCTTCTGTACAAACGACGACTTCCTATTTCCCCTTCTGTATTTTGTCTGTATTATGACTCTGTCAAAGACATCCACCTGTTTAAGACAACCACTTGGACAATTTCAATTGTACTTTTTTGCCACCCCCCCAAAAAAAAAGTTTTAAAAAATGTCTAAATAAAATGAATAAAAATAATAAAATAAGTGAACGAATGAATCAATACAATAGAAATTAAAAGAAAATAAAGAAAGTTAAATGAAACAGCTAACAATTTTCTCACCGGTTGATGTGAACAGGAGGCCATTGTGAAGATCATGAAGATGCGCAAGAAGCTGACTAACGCAGCCCTGCAGACAGAGCTGGTGGAGATCCTGAAGAACATGTTCCTGCCCTCCAAGAAACTCATCAAGGAACAGATTGAGTGGCTCATCGAGCACAAGTACATGAAGCGAGACGAGGATGACATCAACACTTTCATCTACATGGCCTGAGGTGACAGAGGAGTGGATGGATGGAGGGATGGATGAAGTGATGCTACTGCAGCGGCAAGCCTTGGTTGGTTTATTTCTCCTCCTTCCCCCCCCCCCCCCCCCCCAACCAACATCAAGGTTTGATTCACATGAAGCTGGATTTGGATAACGTCAACATGTTTATCTATATGGCCTCAGAGGAGGGGGAGGATGGGATGTGGATGAATAAGATGATAGATGATGGTGTCACTGGTTCCCCCCCCCCCTTTCACCATCCTTGACTCCCTTCTCACCCATATCAACCACCCTGTGTCAAGACTTGATTCAGTTTCACTTTAATAGGAGGAATGGTTGTATTAGACTTAAGATGCTACAGCAACTTTTGGTTCCCGTCAAGAAGACTTTGATCCACACAGCCTGCAAGTACGAATCTCTTCTACAGCAGTTTCGTCCTTCTTCTCTACTTGTTTACCGCACTGACCATTTTGGAGATGGTTTCTTCTGGTTCTTTGGGTTGCATTCTATGATGTAAAATTTTTTGTTCTTTGCTGTTGTGGGCAGCAAAATCCCTGGCATGCTGAGATTGGACAGCTTAACCTTTAGTTTTGACTGCTTTGGGGAAAGTTTTTGTCAATGGTTTTACTGTTGACGTTGTATGAGCAGCAATGTAAGTTATATTCCATTCTAGCGAATCTGAATTAGAATCGTGGTGTAGGGGAGGCTGGAAAGGTTAGTCCAAATTGATATGGCTGAGGTAAATAAAGCAAGGACGAAATAAAGGTAGTGCTATGGCTGCAAGGTCCTTTATTTTCCATCTTTCCGACTGTGGAAAGATTATCTCAATGTACTGGAAAGATTCTTGAAAGATAATTCTCAGTAAGCAAAAATGATTTATTTTTTTTTAATTTTTGAGGTTTGGCAATAGAATTTTGTCAAAATGACTCGTGATAATCTGGCAAGTCTGTTTGGGAAATGGGTGTTTGTGTATTTGGTCACTGAATTGTGCGTGTGAGGTTTAGTGGGAATGATTTGTTCAGTGAAGGTCACTAGACAGTGATGACATGACATATCACTAAGATTGCCTTCTGGCATTGTTGTTTGTATTACATGCAGCTGGCAGATTTCTTCTTTGTATTCTTCTTCTCCTTTGTTTTTGTTGTTTGTATTCCCAGGCTCTGTTTGCTAGCAGTCCTGTGGGTGTGAAGATGAAGGACGGCTTATTTGTATGTGGTTGTGTTTTCTGCCTTTGTTATTGTTGTTCCCCTGCAAGCCATAATAACTGTAACAATAATAATGAATTGCATTTATATGGCACATATTCATGCAAAAAGTTGGCTCCGAGGGCTTTACAATTAATTGTTATGGCAGTAAGGGTGACCACATTCCGTCTTGGTTGATGCGTTGGCTTTAAGTTGTGAGCATAGCCGCAAATGTTTTTGCTTTGTCTAGATTTTGAAAAGGGTGACCTTATTTAGGCCACATATGGCCTAAATAAGCTAAACCCCCCCTCCTTTACCTTATTTAGGCCACAGGTGGCCTAAATAAGCTAAACCCCCCTCCCTTACCTTATTTAGGCCACACCTGTGGCCTAAATAAGCTAAACCCCCCTCCGTTACCTTATTTAGGCCACACCTTTATACAAAGTCACAGAAATATTCCTTTTGTGCTTATTGAGGTACAGTGCAGGGTGATTTTACCTGCAAGGATAATTGGACAAAATGGGCAGAATCTTTATATTGCTAATGGTCATATTTAGACAAATCCTATATCATTGTCTTTTTTTTTCTTAACTGCTCATGGTTATTAAAGAGTAAGCCAACTAGGTAGTAATTTCGGATTCCTAATACTAATATTATAGGCATTCTTAAAAATTTTTAACTTGTTTTTAGCACTTTTCTCAACGTAAAGCGGATTCCGTAAAAAATCCAATGACCATATCTTTCTTTTTCAAAGTATTGTGCATATATTTGTGTGAAACTATATATTCTATGCTTTCATGTACATGAAAAAAGCTAATAAAGGCAAGCAAAATGTTCTTCAGAGACACAGATCTAGTAGTAGGCCCACTGAATTTTTTTTTATAAACCGGGAAAGATGACCAGAAAATAACAAAATTATTTTATGATCTTCACTTGCACTTGCAATTTTTTTCATAAATTATAGTCTACCTCATTGTCTTTTTTTTCCATCATTTTTCTTCACTATTCATGACAACTGGCATGTATTGTTTTCAGTTATTATCAAGAAAGTGGATAGGCGAACTACGGGGTCTATCTAGCCAAAAGGATTGGTGGACCCCGGGGTCTACCTAACAAAATGCTAGGATTTAGGATGTGAACCCCGGAGTGAGCGTAGTGAAATAAGTAGTAGATCTAGGTTTAACTAAGGATCGGTGGACCCCGGGGTCAACATAGTGAAATAAGTAGATCTCAGTTTATTTTATAGTAGGACTGGCGGAGCCCGTGGTCAACGTAGTGAAATTATAAGTAGATATAGGTTTAATTAAGGATTGGTGGACCCCGGGGTCAATGTAGTGAAATCAGTAGATCTGGGTTTAATTAAGGATTGGTGGACCCTGGGGTCAATGTAGTGAAATAAGTACATGTAGATCTAGATTTAATTTTAAGGATTGGTGGACCCTGGAGTCAACGTAGTGAAATAGGTAGGTTTAAGGTGGACCCCAGGGTCTACCTAACGAAATGCTAGTTAGGTTTTTAGAATAGGTGGAACCTGCGGGGTCACCGTAGTAAAATAAGTAGGTTTAATCTAGGTGTCCCGGGGGTCCACCAATCCTTAATTAAACTTTCTTATTCCTCTACGGCTATGGTGACTCCGGGGTCCACCAATCCTTTTAAAATTAACCCTACTTATTTCACTACGCTGACCCCGGGGTCCACCCATCTTTAAAGAAACATACTTATTTCACTACGGTGACCCCGGGGTCCACCTGTCCTAAAACCTAGTATTTCGCTAGGTAGACCCCGGGGTCCACCTTAAACCTGCTTATTTATCACTACGTTGACCCCGGGGTCCACCAATCCTTACTTAAACCAAACCTTAATTTACTACGGTGACTCCGGGGTTTACATCCTAAAACCTAGTATTTCGCTTTGCAGACCCCGGAGTCCACCTATCCTCTTCAGGACTATACTACTATCAATTTGCAATTTTCATTGATTAGCATATTTTAAAAAAAATATTGAATCAGAGACTCGCTTTCTAAAAAGTCCACTGCTAATGCTATTCTTTTCAAAGAAAATGGCACAATTTGATTTTATGACATGTTGAAAAAAAGTTTTAAAAATATCCCGAAAACAACATAAAATGATTATATAGATCTCTCTCTCTCTCTCTCTCTCTCTCTCTCTCTCTCTCTATATATATATATATATATATATATATATATATATATATGTGTGTGTGTGTGTGTGTGTGTGTATTTTTATTATATGTATACTAAAAGACTGAGCAGAGGCTTACAATGTAAATTCTGTGCTCTACAAGTAGAGAAAATCTTAAGTTTGCGCAAAACAGATTTTAGAAAAAAAGTTGGATCTAATTATTCTAATAAAAGTAAAAGTGATTGTTATGCTGAGATTTGTTATTATTAACTCTGGAAATACAGTTACTTGCTGCATCTAAAAGTAACTAGAACTGTGCAATTCGTTTTATTTCAATTCCAAAGCCCAAAGGCATAGCAATAATAAGTTAGATCTAGATCTAGCAGTTGTAGGCTCTCTGGCTACTTCTAGCATAGGCCTGCTACTACTGATTCTAGACAGGGAATCTAGATCTTGCTATCGCCTGCACTATTAAAGTCAAATATATGGTAAAATAAAAACAAAACTGAATTTTTTGTCAGTCAGTACATCCCAATTGCCATAGCCGCACGTATTAATAGTTGAATAATGCGATACCGAAGCAACACGTTATCACAGTGTGCAGGGGAGAGCGAGGTGCTCGGTCGATTCGGTGGTTCGGCTTTTGTAGATCTATGCATTTTTTACGGAAAGCCCTATTACCTGGCCTATTACTAGATCTATTAGTGTTGTGAAAACTTCAACCTCTACAGCTCAGGCGTCAAAAGATGCTGGAAAATAATAATACGTCCTGAAGTTTCATAATTTATTTTTATACAGAATAACACAGTACACAGCCAGTAGTTTTTATTTCACCGAGTTATAAAAATGGCCTTCGTATACAAATTGCCTTGTTTTCAGAAGCAAATTTTAATAGTTCTAGTTCTACCGAATCGATTTTCAGGTGAATTCAACCATTTTGATGATCTTTGTTTTCCTTTTAAAAAGATGTAGATCTAGGTCTGTCGGATGTGGCAGTGTGATTAACACAAAGTTGTTTAGATCTAGATCTAGATCTGACCCTTCAAAACACGAGGCTTCGTGGCCGATCACAAAAGTCTACGGGGCTTATCGAGGCCGATTCGCCCTGCTGCGAGCACGTTCACTAAACTGCCTATAGATAGAATCTACTACCAAATATTCTCTACACGATCTTTGCTACTACTACTACTAGGCCTACTAGCCTACATGTACTACTACGAGACAGTAAGAGAGAGTGTCACTCAGACAAAGATAGTGTAACTTTGACTCAGCCACGTAGTGTACACACTTTTTATACCCCAAATTTAACCCGGAAGTCCATTTTGAGGATTTGACCTTTTCACTTGACCAAAGTGTGCCAAAATGGTAGCCTAGCTTTTGCCCCTCCATGAAGGAAAAATCTGGGCCTCATTCAAACCATTGGGATTGAGCAAAATTTTGCGTATTGTGCTTTGTTCTTTACAATAATATTATTCATTATGGTTATGATTTATAAGTTGTACACTGAGACAAAACCGTACTAAATGAGAAAGGTGCACCATTATGAACGTGGAACGAACTCAGTTGCCTGAAAAGGGTAGTTTGAGCATGTGTGGCCTAAATAAGCTAAACCCCCCTCCCTTACCTTATTTAGGCCACAGTCCACTGTGGCCTGTATAAGCTAAACCCTCCTCCCTTACCTTATTTAGGCCACAGTCCACTGTGGCCTAAATAAGCTAAACCCCCCTCCCTTACCTTATTTAGGCCATATGTGGCCTAAATAAGCACTCCCTTTTGAAAATGGTATCGTGTATAAAGAGGTCTTCGCAGTGGGGAGTTTTTCTACCTAGGATAGCAGCTCAGTGCCATTACTATTAGTATTTGGAGAGAGATGACGTATTATGAAGAAATGGGTTTTTTTTCTTTGTAGGCCTACTTGGCAAGATGATTATTTTGCTTATTTAGCTTTGTCACTCACTATTTTGAGGGGAGTAAAGATGAGGGGTATTCTCTGGGAAATTTGTGTGGTTTTGGGGAAATGTTCGTTGCTTTGTGCTTGGTAAGACAAGTTTTTACAAACCACCCCATCACACTCTGCTGTACAAAAGTACAGGACAGGGGTGTTCTTTGCATTGACAACTCCCTCTCCCCCAAGTACCTCATGAAATCTTGACAAGACCTTCAGAGATTATTCTGAGGCATATGAAATGTTTTTTTAAGTAACAAAAGGTTGCCATCTGAAGCTACTCGTCTTTTATCTTAAGCTGTCACATGTGTTCGTCATTCCCCCATCAACATTTTTCCTATTATTGCAGAGTTTGTGACTGTGTAGTACAGTAATAAGAAATGTATATGTGTGTGTGAGAGGGAGTGGGTGTTCCCAGTGTGTTTTCTTGCTAAATAATTTTGATGTGTCTTGCGTGTAGACTACGTGCGGCGGTCGCTGGAAAGCCTGGAATGGTCAATGGTTGATGCATCTGCTTTGGAAGTTAAATTGCAAGTGTGCTATTGTTACACTGGTGTGTGTGTGTGTGTTTTGTGCTGGTCAGACAGGGTGACATTTGTTTCTATTTTTTTCCCGGCTCAGGAACACAGATCGGGCATTCTCAAAAGATGAAGTCATAACATAAAGTGTTTAGGTCACAGTTGGGGTTTTGTGACTTGTTTTATACTGGAATATCTATTTCTCTAGCAGTGGCACAATTTGGGCATAACCATTTGCAACAGGAAGGAGGAATATAGCTCTTTTTGTTCTTTGTGTACATCAATAGTGTCGTG